CATCACTAGTAAGAATCAAAACTGTGGTTTGGTAAGCAAGAGCAACTTTTTTCTACTGCACAAACACATAATAGTGTATGTAGGCAACAATATAACAAGAGACTAAAACAAAATAAACAACATTCTAATTTCACTTCTAAATCAGTTTCCCTGAGTTTTAACAAATTTTCTCAATTAATGTCTATAGGTTTAGCCAAGATGCTACTCCATTTTATCTTACTGTTTTTGCAGCTATTATCATAATATTTTTTCTACCATAAACTTTCTCAGTCTTGTTTGTGTGATTAAACATATTCTGCAACTCTATATTGCACTAGGATAGGTATATAAATACTGAAATTACTATCTGCTGGTATTAAGCTTAATGTTAAATTTTAAAAACAAAATCATTATAAATCAAAATTAAAATATTGAAATATCACAACATATAATTAATTTTACGTTTTCAGAAAACAAAGTAAACAAAATAATTTTATTCATTTTATGTATGAATTTTTCACAATTTTACTATTTACTTGAAAAATTCACACAGAAAAACAATAAATTTTTAATATATCAACAATTAAGAAATTAAGTTTAATATCAAAGAAACTTATTGATTCATTTCAAGAAATCAAACTTGCTTAATTAATGATTTTTCTAAAAACACATTATTAAAGTTCTCAAGAGTAAACTTTCTCCATCTTCAAAACAGCTTGTATAAACATGTAAATAACATTTAAAATGTATATAAAATTTTATAATATTGATGTAACTTTCTTTTAATGTACTGAACATTATATACTTTTCTGTTCTGAAGGCAGAAAAGTCAGAATCAGAATTCAAAATTTCTAATAAACATGCTTAGCTAAACACTATCCTTGTAAACTTTTATTGAATATTGATGCTAATGAAATGTATGCTGACAGTCATGTTAGATGTAATAAAGTTAATAAAACAGTATCTAAAATATCTAAAAAAAAAACAAAAAACAATGATACATAAAACACTTATCATTTGCTTATATCATACATTTTTTAATACAGTTTTATCTAGGAATGATGATATGTAGTTTCGCTTGTTTTTACAGATAGATAATAATGTTTAAGTTTCAAAGTCTCTCTAATAAATAATATTTAGAAAACAGATATATGCTTCTTTTGTAAAAGTGCTTTGTAAAAACTGTTCAAATTTTGTAAGTGAAAAGTATGATTAATTAACATGTAGCTTTTGAAATTAGCAAATCACAAGCATAGTTTTGTATGATAATGGTTTAAAATTAATAAAACTTATTCTATGTTATTACCAATAGACAATAACTTATTTACATGAAAGGTGCACAAATCTGAATGAAACTTTTGTAGTTTGTAGCTGGCAGCCTCCTGAATATATGCATAAAATATTATTGAACAACTGGCATCTACAGTTACACCTAATAATTAACAAAAATTATTTTAGTATCTCTTATAAGGAGTGTGCCATCTTACAAGGATGATATTCCAAAGCAGTGTGTGGTGGCATGCAATGACCTCTGCCTCTTACAATTCTGTCCTGATTTTAAATGCTGATGTTGCTATAATTTTCTTTATAAATAGTTTTAACAAAAATTTGAAAAATAACATTTAAATTAATTACACAAAATAATATGTATTTAATTTATTTCATAGCATTTCTTGACCAATATATCTGATACTGACCTATAGTTACTTGAAAAACAGTAATTTTGTTTTAGTGTTTTATTATTTTGTTTACTGTATATTCAAATTTGAAACTGATTAGTCACATTTCCTTGTTAGTTATAGAAATGAGTAGATCAAAATATATTATATATTATATATAATAACTAGTTATGTGCCGGATCATTAAAAATGTAGATCTGCAAATACGGATATGGATATGGATCTCAACTTTCATACTCAGTCGGCACCGGTACATGTGATCTTGGACCGATAGTTGGCGCTTTGCGTTAGTAATGCGACGTGTTTTGACTTGCACTGCATGTATTTTTGTTTATAGTGTGAAAGTGTGCGAAATTAGAATTCACCACAAAGACAGACAGGATAAAGTAACAAAAATTGATATAATTTTCCAATTAAACTATTTCAAGTCTTTATACAGATTCTATTTCGGGGGATTCCAACTTCACAGTACAAACAGTTGTATGTGAAATTACAGCAATAATAATAGATCACTGTATCAGAACAAGTGTTCCAAGTGAGCAGTTTTTCAGTGCAGCAGAATTATTTATGATCCTCATGGTAATAGACTTTTGGGGAATAAAGCTGCCAAGTCACTCTTTTTGAAGTACAATTTACCATTAATTAATTTTGATTATGACATTTAATTTTTTTTAAGTTTTTAAAAATGTGATTATTTTATTGGATAATTATTATAATATAATATAATATAACCATGATGATTATTTCAATTAGCATGAGAGGTTTGATCTCACTATAAAGATAGTTAAATTAATACCTTATACTGATAACTTACTATAATTAATGTATAAATATTCAATTTTTGCAATATGAATATGCCAAATATGTGATTTTAAGAAATAAAAAGTGATTTAAATTGAAGTTATTAGTATTTTATTGCTACCTATCTTTAAAATTTCATATAAGTAATGAAATTCATTAAGATAAAAGATCCGTTAAAGATCCACTAAAAAGTAACATATACAGATACAGATCTTTTTTTCTTTCAGATATCTGCGGATATGGATACGGATACAAATACGAATATCTGGCACATCACTAATAATAACTAGGTAGCCCAATTGTTCAATTAATGTTAACTCACTAAAAATTAAAGTTTTAAAAATTTTTAAAAAGCAAATTTATTTATGCAAATTTATTTAGCAGGGCAAATTTATGAAACAAAAATTAATGAAATTACTAAAAGAATTAAAATAAATTTAAATTTGATTATCTTTTGTGCAAAACAATGCTAAAACAATTACTATTGTTATGTCGCAAAAGAAAAATGAGTTGCAATTAATTGAAAAAATTCTAATTAAGGGTTCAAAAAATGTAGGCAAAATTAAATAAATAAATANTCGTGCTCCTGGCAGACTCCTCCCGGAGGGGAGCTGCTGGCAGGCCGCCCATTGTTTAACGTCACTAGTTATTGATTCACAGTAGTTCTTGAACAAAAGAAAAAACAGGAAACGTCTACTAAAAATGTAGTTAACCTAACCAAACCAACCTAACCGAAGCACTGCCTTGGGGTTACCTAGGTACACTTTAACCACCGGGTGTACTGTGGTGGCATTTCGAATTACACAAAATCATTTTTTTTACACTGATGCCTATTTGTAGTACATAAATCAGTTCAGCCTAGGCCAAACTAGTATATCCTGACATGCGTAGGATAAACTAGTTTGGCCTGAAATCGGGTTTGGTCGTTAACATATATACAGATAAATATAATATAATAATATATAATAATAACATAAAAACTAAAAGTAAATCTCTATATAACCAAAGGTCATTATTCAAAAATCAAACTTAAAAAATAGTTGCTATGTTACCGCTAAAGCTCGAAAGTCGTTAATGTGTACATTACCTAGCTAATCTGCAGATTAACTAGGGTGATCCGTTAAAGTTGTGAAAATTGCTCCATTTCTCAAATTACCTAGATAATGTGCAGAGTATCTAGGTAATCCGCACATTGCCTACTAGGCACTCGGTAAAGTGAAAATAAGATCTTTGCCACAAATAAATGTACCACAAATAGGTGTGCTTGTCGCAGAAACCAATTGCTATGAAATTCAAAGTGCCACCAATCTTTAGACTGCACTAATAAGTAAGCACAATTGGATAATATTAGAATTGGAAAATTATTAGAATAGGTTAGGTTAGGTTAGGTTAGAACGTGCGTCCCTGCTGTTTCCTTTCTTCTGTTTGATGGAATCAGAGACGAGCCGTCATTTTACTTACCATAGGTAACATTAACTGCACAATTATATCATGCAATCACCAGAAAAAGTATGATAACTTTATTATTTTTCATCTCCGGTCCAAAAGTAGGGTATCGTTGAAGTCGTCTCGGTCCCCTCAGTTCAGATAGACACTCAAAGTCCCTAAATTCCATAGGAGGTTATCTATATAATAATTTCCCTGATTGTATTAATATTTTAAACCATTTGATTTTTTGTATGTTTTTTAATTGGTTGAGGATTGATTCTATCAACTAGTTTGTTGATTGTTTGATTGTATTAACTTGATTCTTTAGAATAAATAAAGAACATTATGTTAATTTAAGCGTACAGAAACATTGCTGTTCTTCCAGCAAAGATCTCATTTTCACTTTACCGAGTGCCTAGTAGATAATTTGCAGATTACCTAAGTAATTTGAGAAATAGAACAATTTTAGCAACTTTAACAGATCACCCTAGTTAATCTGCAGATTAGCTAGGTAATGTACACATTAACGACTTTCGAGCTTTAGCGGTAACAGCTATAGGAGCAAATGAATAGCAGTCTCTTCAACACCAAGTCTGAGTCAAAAATGAGATCTTTGTGTTTCATATCCCTACACAAAGACCTTATTTCCACTTTGTTAACCCTTTTCACAAATTCATGCTGAGTCCACAAAGGAAGTTAACGGGTGGTCTTTTGTGAAATGAATTGTAGACCCTCACCTGTGACCCATTGTGACCTACTTACATGCTGCTTCTTTGTAAAGTGATGGTTTCAGCTTCGGTGGAGACAGAATATTTTGCTTTTAATACATATTTTGATTTCAGTCATATTAAGTTTGTTTTTTCTTTCTCACATCACAGTTTTATTGTTTTAGAAACAGTGTAATATTATTAACTAAACTTTTCATGTAGAATTTATGAATAGTCAGCTATGTTGCATGAAATGCCTGCTAATGTTCATCAGCGTATGTAGCTAGAAAACCACGTTTTTGGCTACTGTTGTTACATATTATAATTAATATTAACAAATACACTAATAAAAAATTTTTCGTTACATTCAACTTGAAGAATGAAATTACAGTGCAAAATCACTTACTATCACAGACTGTAAAATTTCTTCTTCTTCCTTGACTAAAGGATTCAAACAAGGAAACTGTAATTCATCCATCCAAATTACTAAATATTCATCTCCATAAGATACTGTGAATTAAAAGAAAAAATACTATCATAAAAATCTTTCAATGAATAAACTTTTTCAATAAGTGATAAAAATATCAAATAATCATTTAAAACAAGAAATATATCCATAATTATCAAACATATACAGTTATTACAATTACTATGTAAAATTATAACCCGATGACATATGGCAATTCAAATAGTGTTATTGAATGTATCAGGTTTAGTAAAATATTTATATTTACTTCAGCTATATCTTTTATTCAAGCAGTATGTGAAAAATTAAGATTTTTTCTTCTGAAATTTGTTTTTGAAAATTAAAATTTAGTTTGCTTAACATCATTTTCCAACACTAATATATTTATTTTACATCATTGGCTTTTATAACTTTTCTGTGTTTAGTGATACAGTATATGTAAATCTGCTCTAAAACTCTCAGTGGGACATTTGATCTACATTCCGAAATAATTTCATACTCATCCCAGTATACCTTCATCTCTTTCTTCCATGCTCATATCTGCAGCAATGAATTATATTACTGTTCAATATTTCAAAGTAAATAAAGTAAATAAATATCTGGCTACCATAGTACAGGCTTATCATGTTGAAACTGATATAGGTTAAACATATATATTAGGCATACAGATTTATTTTGAATTATGCTTCATTAAACATTATCTCTGTATACATTCTAGACTTCAGACACTCTTCAGCCAAAATTTATCATTATATTATTTATTTTTGTATTTCTACACACCGGTTAGAGGCATGAGTAAGTACGTTTTTGTTTATTATATTACTGTTGTTCTTTGCTACTGGTTTATAATGTTCTTTGATTCTAATTGTTACAGATAGCAAAGTGGAGTTATGTAGAAATAGTTTATGTTACCTAATAGTCTTATTGCGTATATCCCTGCTTTTTGACAACTTACCCATCATTTCTAATTGTTTGCATGACCATAATATTCTTATAATATCTAATGCAAATCCTGCCTTTTTGACAGGATTGTAAAATTTCTTCTTCTTCCTTGACTAAAGGATTCAAACAAGGAAACTGTAATTCATCCATCCAAATTACTAAATATTCATCTCCATAAGATACTGTGAATTAAAAGAAAAAATACTATCTAATTAATCATATCTCAGGGTCCGTGGCATACATATACAGGCCTGTCTTTAGGCGTGGGCTTACCGGGCCTGGGACCAGGGGCCTCCTAACATTCGAGACCTTGAAAATATGCAAAATTGAATAGAGCAACAAGTAATAAAATTATTATAAACAGTAAACAATCAAAAGATATGTTTGATAAATTTTATTAAACATAAATATAACAATATGTTTAGAAGAGAAGACTAATTGAAAAAATTTATGAACATTAACCCTCCATTACGAATTCCTTAAGGGGGCCTCCAAGCTTTTCTTGGCCCAGGGCCTCGCACGTACCAAAGATGGGCCTGCACATATAGCTGTTGTGGTATTTCTGTTTCATATTTGTATGTTTATTGTGTTGTTCTCACCCTGTGTTTTTAGGATGCCTCATTTGTACTTACTGCTGGAGACAATAATGGTCATGTTTTATTAGGTGTGCATCCAAATAAGTTCAACTGGGCCATCTTCAGAATACGCCCTAATTATTGGAAAGGAAAAGATGATATATAAAAATGATTAGATCACATTGCCAACATATTATTCATTAAAACTGTTTAATGCCAATAAATAACTGTTTATTGGCATTAAACAGTTTTTATTATCAACACAAATACTTTCAACATCAATGTCATCTTCAGGTGAAGAACAACTTTGAAACATTAAAATTTTAAAAAAGAGGAACATTAAATATTCAAAAATGGAAAACTTATTTTTGAATATAATGTTAAATATTCAAAAAAAAAATTCAAATTTTTCTTTCTACTCATGAATGAATCTATTTAAGAACTTACGTCAACTTTCAGTATTAATGATTGAATACACCTTAGGTAAAAGCTGCAATTCAACCAAATACATTTTGATGTTATACCATTCCTGCAACATAATAGGAGAAATTCTAATTGAATACATTCCTTGTGCCAAGGTAACATCTACAAAGGTTCTGTGTACAAAAAATGACATCTACAAAGGCATAAAAACTAGAGAACTGGTATGGCAGCCATTTTTTCTCTTTTTGAACTTTGTCTCATCATATGTAATCATATCTCAGGGTCCGTGGCATACTGTGCCAAGGCCTATATCCACCTTGGCACAGTATGCCACGGACCCTGAGATACAACCTTTATTTAATCAGGCCAGGATAATATACACCACGCACCAGACACACCATTTGCATTTGATGGAAGCGATTTATATACACAAAGCAGCTCAGGGTAACAATTGTATCAACAGTAAAGATAAAATATCCTTATCAGTAGTGTGGCAAACCCTGGTATATGACACATGACGAGATGAAAGTTATGCTCTCAACGATGCATGTGCAAACAATGACAACGATTGCATGGGTTTCCGCCGATATTCCATTTCAGAATTTTTTTCAAAAAAGATCAGCTCCATCAAATTTAAATTCTTTTGCCTGTTTTTTGTCATCTGAGGAAGAACCAGAGGTTCAAAAACGTTAGTGAAAGACGTAAAAGTTGAATTAAGCACCATTTTTGGTTTATGTTGGAAGTAAGTGTTATAAGGTATGGTGTGTTATTGATGGAATTACATTATTAATGATGCTGCTGTTTTACTTTTAACTCTTAAAATTTCTTTTGTTTTTTATTTTATCTTGTTGCAATTGCCCCTTTAATAGTGATTTGAAAGATTGCTTATAGTTTTGAGGAATGTGATTGCTCTACTTACCAAAGCTCCATATGCAGATCATTTTATCAAATGATTTCCAATGTATAAAAGCATTTACTGCTAATGAGGTGCACAATACTTTAGTTAACCATATATAAAAAGGAGAGGAGCTGTTAAATCTATAAAAAAAATTTATGAATATATTCTGTCATCCAATAGGATGACAGAAGAATTATGAATGATGAATACTCCTATTGAGTTTTTTGATTTATAAATTTCATTACATAGTTGATTTTCACTTTGCGTTGCGTTTCCAAAAATCCAATAGAGTGTCTATACATCTTAATATTAGTTTGTTGTCGTCCGATTAATTTTTAATGCTCTTGTCTTCCACCATCTTATGACTATTTTAATTTGGCTATATTGCTAATGCCAGCAACCACTTTGGTATTCCTCAGAGTTGCTTATAGATCTTGTTGTTTTACATAAATTATGAATTCCTCAATATTAAATCTGGAAAATCTGCAACTATTTTAAATTTGCCTAATGACATTCTTTTGTCTTTGCATATATATTCTTTCATATGTAATAAACCTGGTTCTATTTCGATGGGTATAAACTTTTATAGTATGGTTAGCTTGTTGTTTTTGTCCACAGAAATCAATTTTAATCTTTTTATTACCTATAAGGAACTACTGATAGCATAATTTGCTTTTCACTGTGTGCTTGCTAGAATTTAGGCAATATCTAAGTTCAATGTAGAGGCAAACAATTTATCGAGTATACCTTATTAATTTATTTGATATATTTTATTAAAGTATTTTAAAATTATTTACTCAAAATTTTTTAATTATATTCTTTATACATACAATTGAATGTATTTTCAATATGGAAATACCTGTATATATATATATTTTTTCTAAACTTTACATGTAACAAACATCATCTATTTTGATCATAAAGAACCTAAAGATAAACCAAATAAAACTGAAAGTACTCAATTAGTATTAAAATTATATGCAGATAACAAGGTACAGAATCTTTAAACATTTTTAAAAATGTCAGCAGGATTTGAGTATTTTTACCTTTCATTGAATTTTGCTGTACTTTTTGTGAGAAAACAATGCAATCTTTGATATGATGTAATTCTTCAATATCAACAGCTGTAAACTTCTGAACATCACTGAGATGTATACATGGACTTCTAACAATTAATACAGAGCCTAAAAATATTAAATTATTAATTAATTCTGCTTTAATATCATTGATGGTATTCTTTTTTAATATAATTATATTTTTGATGGATTTTTACTAAACATGTAAAAAATATAACTTTGAGTTATACAATTCAATTCATATTAAATATAAGAAAACAAACATAATTTTATCTATCAGTTATTACAAATAACCTGATTAAAATGTAGATCTTGGAAAATTTTCTACTCCTTTAGATAATAAAACCAGAATTTTGGGGTTGACTCCAGAATCTGATAAATCTTAAAGTTTTCATTAAGACTTGTTGACAATGTCTAAGACAGTGATAAAAATCTCCTAGCCCACACGCAACTCACAAGGTCCTAATGTGTGGCTCTTGGGACTTTGGAATTGTAATTTTATTTTCCTGTTTTCTACCTCATGTCACTGCTTAAGCTAACCCTAATTTAAGCTGATATTCATGATGAAGAACATTCAAACTAATAAAAACTCTTTCTAACCTGTTACTGGTACATTCTCTTTCTTCTATTAAATCGTAACAAACCAAAATAGCTCTTTAACAAACAAAAATAGCTTTTTACTAACATTTTCGAACCCTAACGACGGTTCTTCTTCAGGTATATTTTTGAATCTCTGATGGAAATGCCCATAAAACTTCAAATTCGAAAATATGTATGTTCAAATACACGTTTCCCGTTTATGTCATTGTCTATCATGCGCAGTTGATTCCAATATGGCTATCATAAATTACTGTGCATGATAGACAATGATGTAAACGGAAAACATGCATTCGAACATACATACAGTGGTGCCTCATATAACATACACTGCGAACAACGGACTTTCTGTTTGACTGTTACGTGACTTGAGCAACGGACTGGCTGCGAACAATGGACTTTCCGTTTGGCAAATACGTGAGGCGAACAACGGTCTTTCTGCAAACAAGTGCGAATGATGTTTCCACTCTTTTGCCGTTGCCAATAAGAATCTGCTATTTTTATAATATATTAGTATTATTAGAATATATTATTATTATATCTGAAGTACAGAGTTTCCTTGTTTATTATGTACATCACCTCAGTGCAGGGTATTTACATTTATTCAAGTTTTGTGCAAATCATGGTTTCTAAAAGAACAGAAAGGTGATTTCAATTGAAACAAAGCAAGAAATCATCAGAAGGAGTGAAAGTTGACAAACACTTCCTTGTCAAATGGGGAGAGGTTCAGGAGTTTACCAACACTCATTATCCAAACAGAGCTGAGGTCAGAAGGATCAATGATCTCTACAATGACACCCTTGCCCATCATTTCAGACAGGTGTTGAAAAAGAGAGAGAAACAGACCACCTTGGACATGCTTTTCAAGAAGCCAGATGCCAAATAACAAAGGATGGAACAAGAGGAGTTGACCCTGCAAGCTCCAGTAGCCTCTCCTGAATCTGACTTCGATTAAAAAACAATAAAAAGAGACCTGCTGCAATGTGTAAAAAGTCTATCTGTATGAATGTGTGAAGAAAGTGTTCCTCCACCTCCTTCTCACAACATCTGACTATCCGGCATAATTGGTGACTGTGCCATTTTCATTTTTTTAATGGTACAGTACGGTTATTTTATGCTGCAAAACGAATTATATGTTTTAACATGTATTTCTATGGGAAAATACGTTTCGTATAATGGACTTTTCACTTAACGGATGTGCACCTGGAACAGATTAAGTATGTTATACGAGGCACCACTGTATTTTCGAAGTTGAAGTTTTATGGGTATTTCCATCAGAGATTCAAAAATACACCTGAAGAAGAACCGTTGTTAGGATTCGAAAACGTTAGTAAAAAGCTATTTTGTTCGTTAAAGAGTTATTTTGGTTCATTATGATTTAGTAGAAGAAGGAGAACGCACTGGTAACAGGTTAGAAAGAGGTTTTATTAGTATTCTCCGGTGTTGAGATAAAGATGTGTAGTCATTCAAACTAATCTCAACAATTAAAAGGAAGATTACTAGTTTGCATAACATTCGCATACAAGTATTTTGTATCCAGTGTACAAGTGGTTATGGAGCCTGTTGGCAGACTTAAAGCCTGCAATTCTGTCAGAAAAAAATGCATGAGGCCTGCCAGAGGCATACAAAGTTCACCCAAGATCAAAAACAATCCAGAAAAGATTGTCCATCACTGGTGTAGGGCATAACATTTGTCTTCTATTAATGATATCATGTAAATATAAATAAGCAGCCCTATGTTCTTTCAAAAGAGAGATCTCTAGTATCAGGAAAGGCAAAAATAATTTATCCCAAATTACTTTGGATTTTTCTCTAGGCTATCCCAAGATTATAAAGAATAGAAAGAATATAAGTATAAAAATAAAACAAATCCTTGCTGAAGTTGCTCTAGAGATGAAAGGATTCTATAAGATGAAGCTACCTTTATTCTATGAAATTAGAAACTTCCTTTGGAGAATAACGTAAAAATTAGTTTCGACTGTACGTAAAGACAATATCATTAATAAAACATGTAAAAACTCTGCCCCAGATCCTTTGGTTGTGCACTTCAAACCTATTTAATATGCAAATGAGATTAGATTTTGGTCATCAGTAATTTTATGAGTTCGTTGTTATCAAAGACAATCTGTACTTTATAACTTTAATTTTTGTTCATTGTAATTCAACCTGGATAAATACAGAATAACATAAAAGTTTAAAAAGTTTCAAATTCTGTCCTTTTGTATTCTTTCTCAAATTATTCGATTTGAGATCCACCTAATGCATAGCAAAATGGCTTCAAAACTACTTACCTTTTTGCTAAACTTCCTATCATAAACTAGATTTCTTTTGATTTATTAATACAAAGGTTGATTACCATATTTTGACGAGTATAAGTAGCACTTTTTTTACTACTTTTTGGGGCTCAAAATCATGGTGTGTCTTATATTCGACAGGTAACCATTTTTTACAGTGAAATTACCTACAGTAGGGTCCACTCTAGGGACCAACCTGTGCAGTGGTCCGTTAAGCAAATGGTCCCTCAACCGAATGTCTAGAGTACCTAGATTATCAGAGTAGCGACACACGAGTCATCGCCGCTATGTTCTGTCGACTTCATCACGTGACCTCTGAGTTTACATTAAGAAATGACGATTATTTCAGTTTAATAAAGCATTTTATTCGTTTTTTTATTCAAGAATATGAAGGATGGATGAATTGATACCTTTATTAAACTGAAATAATCGTCATGGATGGTACAGAAGATGAGGCAATCTATGAAGATTCTGATGATGATGATTCAGTCAATACTTTGGGAATTCAAGAAGAAAGGGATGATGAATCAGTCATTAATGACGTCATAGATATATTTCCTAATGGATGTAATTTACCGGTAGATAGCAGTGATTCAGTTGAAGAATTTCTTGGCCACTATGATTAATAAAATGCATCTTTAGACAATCCCATTAAAAAAGTTTTTTTCTAAATTTTTTGTCTCAAAATAGGGGTGCATCTTATACTTGACAGCAACTTATGCTCATCAAAATATGGTAAATCAAATTATTTAAAAAGTAAAATTGATGAACATTTTTACACACATATATTGATATAAAATGTATTGATATAATGTATAAAGTATAATAATTGTGTATTGATACACAATTATTATATAGACTGATTACTTAATAAAATATTTGATAATATTGACTTATCAGAAGCCATACAAAATATTAAACTGAAAACAATTTTCTGTTGGTATTGAAAATTTTAATGTAATTTAAATTACCTGTACTGAATTTACTAAAAAATATTGATTTAAATTTGTATCAAAAATGTTAAAAAGTTAAAAATTAAATATATTTTTTGTTTGATGGATATTATTAATAATTAGTTACCAGTTATAATATCAGTTTCTGTATTATTGTTCCATATGTCTTTAGAACATTGCAAAAATACTTCTCCAGGATTTAATAACTTTGTTTCATCTACAATTCCAAGCATAGTTCTACCCTTGCTGGAAGGAATTGATATTTGCGTATCTTTTCGTAAGTTTTCTAACAAAGAATCATAGAGAAATTAAAAACAAATAAATCAAGATTTCATTTTGATTTTTATATGATAAAATTTCTACCCAATTGCTTCAGAATAATTGTTTGCAGTAATGACTGAAAAAATGGTTCTTGTAATAATTCAAAATCCTCTTGCAAATCATCATAATTGATACAAAATAAATTATGTGCTTTAAATAAATGCTTTGCCTTTTTTTCATCAATAAAACATCTTAACATAGTTTTCAACATTTTTTCTTGAAGATTAAAAAATGTTACATCCTTAACATTTAATTGTGACAGTATCATGACGAGAAAACGATTAAGATGAACAAGTTCTGAAATAATTTATTCAAATTATTTGATTCAATTAATCAAATATTATTTTTTAAGTTAAGCAATTTATTGTCTACTTACTTGGTTTGCTGATTTTTAAAATTTCTATATGGGAATTACAAGATGAGATATTATTTTCACTCTTATTGAAAATAATTTGTTTTCCTTCCAAACATGGCCACATGGATAATGTTAGTTCACATCCTCCATATAAAACCTTCATAGCAGATGGAATATAATCTAATTCTAATTTATCACAGACCTAAAAATTGAATAAAAGAAATACAAATGTAAGCTAAGACAACACAAGAATATAAAGAAAATTTCAATTAATTCAGGACAAATATTAATGGAATAAGTATAAAATGAAATTAAACAGAAAATGAACAATTATTTATTATGATCGTCACAATGCTGGGTTGCAATTTTTCGTCACAACACACTTAAGTTTAGTAGTGTCTTGCCTATGTTCATCAATATTTTCCTGTTAGCAATAGAGTCATGCTGGTCATTTATCTAACTCCTTTCAGGAGAAAATTTTTGAATTGAAATAACATGACTTCCAGTTTGCACTGGAAGTTCTTATATAGTTAATCGGGATCTCTTGCCTCTAAATTTCTACATCTGGTCTCAGCTTTCATCTATCTAACTCTGTTCTTGGGATTAGGGACAACACACAGATGGACAACAGTGGGAATTCATAGGCCTAAAATTTGAAAAAATTGCAGCCCGATAAATGAGTTCAAGAAATTTGGAATGAATAAAGTTACTCGAAGCATATTTCTAAATGTTGATATTCAATTGATCTAGTCTGGGTTATGCATTACATCAAATTTGACTCCATGACATCATCTTCAATCTTCACAATGACTGGAATTAGGTGGTGATTTATTTATGTTGTTGACTGTACTTGTTTAAAAATGAAAAAAAATTGATCAGATGTGAAAACTTGGGCCATATTCTGGTCACTGTCTCTGGTCTCTCGTCTCTCGCAAGCTGGTTGATGATTGGCTAATCATTTGGATTAACCAATCAATGGAAACCGGCTTGTGAGAGACCAGAGACCAGAGATGGTGACCAGAATACGGCCCCAAGTTATGAATAAAATTGAAGTTTAATCCTTAAAAAATATATATTTGTAAAAATTTATTAGAATCGACAGAACATTTTCAATTTGAAGAAAAATTTCAGAATAAAAGCAGATACAAATATCTAGCAATTTCTAAAAGAATCAGATGTGTCACCATGATTATCCTAGATTATCACTGTTAATAAAGTTGTCATTTCTTTAAATGTCATTCATTTTTTTAATGTTAATTTAAAAATTTTAAATTTAAGAAATTCCAACACCTGTTCTTAAAGATGAATTAATACCATAGAAAAATGTTAATATTTTATTTTATACAGTAAAAAATAACTTACCATTTTTATAACTTCAGGAGATATTCTACCACTTCCAGATGGAATGCATTTATCATGGATTTCTGAGATATTTATTCCATTGACTTCTAATGAAGTTAAAGATTCTGTTAGCATTTCTTCCATAAATTTCATGTGCCCAATGGTATCTTTCAATTGCTTTGACTTTGATATGCTTTTTAAAATAGTTTCCATACCATTTCCATTTGAATCTTCTGCACAGAACATTATAGAGTGATCTTTTAGCATTTTAGAATTATATCCTAAGATATTATATTGTCTATTGCCAATTTTAAATCCTTCTTTTAATTTTTTTTCAATTGTAGGAATAATTTTATTTTGTGATGATTCTTCTGTTAATGAATCTGTTAAATATTGAAAATTCTCATCTCTCACAGATAAATGGATGGCATAATCTGCATCAAACTTTTTAAATAATCCATTGTTTAAATATGTCAGTGGACTTAAGAAAATTATTCTTGTAGGAGTTAATACAGCTTGTCTTAAACTCACTAAATTAGAGTAATCACTATTTAAATTAGGAATACCATTGTATTTTGAAAAAAGAGAATTCAGAGCATTAGAAAATATCACAATATTTTTTCTTTCCAATGCAAAATATATTTTATATAATGCCTTTTCTAATGCATTTGGATCCTGACTTGCAAGCTCATTTAATTTTTGTTCAACTGATATTAATTCATTCCTCATGTGTAACTGCATGATAATGTCATTATTCCTGGAAAGAATACACTGCAAAGCATAATTACAATTGAAATTAACTTCAATTTTTGGAACAGGATATATTTCATTCTTAAAACTTGTACAAATTGGAGAAATAAAGCACTCAACTTCTTTACAATTGTGTACAAAATTACAGACAGCTTCCCAAGCAGAATACCAAGGAATTTCTAACTTTAATACTGTCGATAAGGTAATATCTGATTCCAAACAGTCTGCAAATTTGGTCTTTCGAAATGGAACTGGATCCAAATCTTCACTCGAACTTTCATCATCAAAATATTCTGGTTTCTGTCGTTCTTCAATTCCATATATTAATGGAGGATATTTTAAGTAAAGATAAATTTCCAAATTATCTGAATCTGATACCTTATTTAGTAACATTCTAGAAATGTTTGAATAATCAAATTCAAAGTGGTGAGGCAAAGCAATTTCATCATTTGGTTCTTTAATATAAGTTTCTTTTCTTGAAACAACAAAAAATAAAGAGAACTTTTCACAATCATGCTCAAATGAAACTTCAATTTCATTTATGGCATATTCTAAATTCTCATCAGAGTTCTGTTTTTGGGAACCATAAAACTCGACAAAATCATTTAATTCAACAACTGTTCCAAAAGAAAAACTTTCTGCTTCTATCTGTTTATCTGCTAATATAAAATCTAAATGAAGTTTTTCAATATCATTCAAGGATAACCATTTGCGATTATCACCAATGATTTCTTTATTACACCATTTATGTATTATTTCCTGCACATATTCTGAAAAAGGTTCAGCAAGTATAATTTTACAATTAAATACAGTATAATTTTCTTCATAATATTCAAGATTTTGTGTTAATTCTTTCACATCTATTAACTGAAGTCCAAGATATTCATTGATCTGATTCACAACAAATAAAATATCATTAATAGGCATCCAAATTACTTTTGCTTCAATTATTTGCAGCTGTTCCATATTAAAAAAGATATCTACTGTTAAATATAAATGAAGAGAACTCTTTCAATAAAATTAACATATAAATTAAATAATTTATTTTTATTGTAAAATAAAATTTAGATGAAAATTTAAAAATATCTTTTGAATAGACTGTCAAGATCCATGTTCTTTCAAACTTTTATAAATCCTGGAATAAAAAGAAATATATAAGTAAATCATTATGTTATTAATTATGAAATTCGATTAGTAATTAACTGAATATTCATTAAAATGCAGGGCCAAAATTTTCATAATATAATATTATATCTTTACAAATATCTTAGAATGATAAATTTGTTAATGTACAGTACAGTACTATACATGCAGAGTGGGCAGAAAGTCCTTATACGAGTTTATATTTTTAGTAGCAATGTAAATGTGATGTAAACTAACTCATTCCTTTGTGAATTTTGTTAGTTTTATTTGAAATGTCTTAAGAATAGCACAAGTACTGTACATTGATTTGAATTAATACTTAAATGAATTATTATTCAGTCAGTCATAAACTCATTTGACTTTACAAATGTATACAAATTTTATCCTAAGTGTATGCAGTTCAGTCAGCATACCATATTTTGCTGTGTATAATGTGCACTTTTTTGCTCACATTTGTCAGGGAAAAATAAGACTGTGCATTACACATGGGTAGTACTAATTCTGTATCTATATAGTGTTTTAATTATTTTATTTGTACTTATAAGTTAAAAAATTAACTCTAGAAATCAATAACAACATCCATATATATGAATGTTGTTATTTTCATATATATGAAATAATACCCTGGAATATAATTATTCGTTTTGTTGAACTTACAACAAATTAGCAATGAAAGCAATTGCAGCCAATAATTCAACAAAATGAAACAAATAGCAACATATTAGCAAAATAAAACAGAATAAAGAAAACAAACAATACTTCTAATATTAACAGTGTTGAAGAGTTTTTGGCCTATGATGTGTAAATATCATAAATTTGTTACTGATATAAGATATAAGAAATTTTGTTTATCTGTTCTTGTGTTTTATAATTATTTGTTTTATAAAATGTTTTTGTACCAAAATATGTTAAAACACAAATACCAAAATTCCTTTATAGTACAAAAAAAATTATCTAAATATAAACAAATAAAAATTTGAATTAAATAATCAAAACAAAAGATTTTTTCCTGAAGTTTTGAGCCAAAAATGTGGGTGTGCATTATACACAATAAAATACAGTATTTTTTAATGTTAAGACCTGTTATGGTAAGATCTGGCAACATCAGAGAACCGTGCAAGACAGACGGCCCTGACTAATGTATAAGATTGGAGATCGCCGGGTCCAAGTAGGACTCCGAATAAAGCATTCAGAGTAAGTGTCTGTATTCGTCTTGCGGGGGTCTTAAGTGCATCACAAAGGGTGTACAAACACTAAGTAAACCACATAAAACAAGACCCACTAATGATTTCAACTTTTCTGTGGCATCATTAGTAATCTAAGCTATTCACTTGAAATATAGCTGTATGTATTGGTATAAATATGCAGGGTGAGTCAAAATTATGTGAACAATCTTAATTTTTAATTAAACATTATTAATGAAACATCTTAATTTTGTTTCATTTTCTATTCCGATTGGTCACAATGGACCATAGTTATGGCCTCCCCAATCTCCAATGTTCTGACACTAAATTGTACTGTTGAACATTGATTTGAGTGCATTAATCGTGCTGGTGGTCAGGTTGAGACTCTTTGAGCAAACTTTAAGTAAATGCTCTTGAGTAAATTTTTTAAGTTCTTCAGTTACTTCGGGAGGGTCCAGAAACTATTATAAACGAAATTAAAGGGAAGGGGTTTGTCAAAAGTACATCACTGCATACAACAGGGAGGAAGGGGGACTAAAAACTGTACACGTAATTGGGAAGATAATGACAAATCTTTAACATAAGATCATCGAATTTGCTTGCTGCCCAGATAAAGGAGCATCCATTAATTCCAATTTTCCATACGATATCGGCGTATCCAATGACACTGCATGTAAACAAATTAAAAGTGCGACCTTATAACATAAATATTGTTAAACTGGAATAGTATTGCTTTTTCTTATTGCGTGTATAATAAGAATTTCATATACTCACGATCACCCTATATCAATTCTCGTGAAAATCTTCTGTTTGTAAACAAGGCGATATTTGAGAGAACACGTCTACAGGATCGACACATAACCGAGAATCGATCGAATATAAAACCAAAACCAAAACCAAACCGTATGCTATGAACCAAACTTTTCCTTTATCTCTTACTTATCAGAAATAACTGTCAAACAAATAACATTCATTTTAAAATTGATTAAAAGTTATTTGGTTTAGGTAATATAAATTATAAATTAAAAATGGCGAGAATTATATCGAACTTTATTGTAATGTCATATAGTGAGTGAAATGAATTGTTTACGCCGTACTCACATCATTCAATTGCATCACGTGTGTAACACCACGTGTCTGAGTGTTCAGTGCCAAGTTGCCACAATGAAATTTCAAAATGTACCGAAGCTCCTTCAAGAAATGTACTATTTTTCCTTCAAAATGTACTATTTCTATGGTTGGTTACTTTTAATATTAATATACCATCATACTCAATTTTTGTGCTTATTTCAAATTCATATTCACGAATATTTTCTTAAATATGAATACTTTAAATATTTCATAAAAAGATTTTATGAAAATAGTTTCTATGGTTTTTTGTTAAATACAGCATTAAAAGTTGATTTTTTAAAAATATTATAGTAATAGATAAAAAAAATTATAAATTAAATATGCGTGGACAGATTCAAATTAAAAAAAGTTATTTCTTTTACCAAGATTACTAAAATTGAAGCTTATAATTAAGAATTAAATTATAGTGGTGAAAAATAATATAAAAGTACAGTATTTATATTATTTGTACTGTACAATTTCAAAACTATTTTGTGTAATAATTCGACTCTGACTTAACGGCTATTTTGATATTATTGATGACAAAAGTTTAAAATCATTGATTTCCTATCTGTCCAATATTTTTGTTTGACAGAATTGAATTGTTTGGACCACGTGGCGTGAAAAATTTTGTCAAGGTCCTCGTGAGAATGTGACACGTGTGAAAGAGGACTGAGTCATAACATTTGCACGTGCAACTAACTATCTGTATGTTGTTGATGTCGACCGACATACAGCATGTGTATGTTGTGATTGGGTAAATCAAATTAGCAAGCAGTGACACTAGTTTGACTTTATTAAACTAATGTTTTGCATTTTTTTCGTGAAGGAATAAAATATTATCTTGTACCATAAATGGCACTGAAATATTATAATGTACTCAAAATGTACTAAAAATCTAAGTGTATTTTCAATATACTCGAAAGAGCAAAATGCACCCGAAAAGTACAAATGTATTAGGAATGGCAACGCTGTTCAGTGCTCGCTGATAAGAAATGTTGTTTGGAAAAGACTTCTTACAGAAGTAAATGGTCCGGAATAAAGACCACCTCCAATACATCACTAAAAATTCAAAATATTGAAAAAGTTAAATATAGTATATTCTACGAAGGGTTAAAGTTTAACGCCGGCCGTTTATAAACTAAAACGGCGAGCAAACGAAACGTTTTGAACGCCATCTGTTTATTTTTGAAGATGTTTATAATATATATACTGTATATAAAAAGTAATATTTGAGCTAAGTACATTATTTTTCATTTTTTTGCCTTACTATCGATCATTTTTAATTAAAAGCTTTTATATACAAAGTAACCAATTAATATACAATATAAAGCAAATACTGTTTACAAAGCATAGATGGAGAGCATGAAGAACTGATTCGAAACACCGAGGTCGGATCTCTATATCGTTTTCTTTTCGATAAAAATTACCCGGTGTGCAAATATGCTATATTAAAATTTTACTAAAATATTTTCCTAATTAAAATTCATTTTTTTATTTATATTTTGTCGAGTATTCTATTTCTGTATTTCTTCTTAATTACAGTGGTACCTCAGGATACGAAATTAATCCGTTCCGAAACTGAGATCGTATCATGAAAATGTCGTAAGGTGAATCATGTTTTACATATGTAAAACCAAATAATTCGTTCCAACACGAAAAACACACTCAAATTAAAGCTAAGTAGTACATTAAAAAAACTAACTATAGTAAGGAAAACACTGAAAAAGTTTTGTAGTTGTAAATGTATAAATAACCATAATAGAATAATAATTTATTTAAAAAATGTAGTTTTATTTACACTTCATCTTTGAGGATAGACGACGATGGGGGTGTAAACTGGTAGCGGAGAGAGGGAGAAGGGAAATTATACTAAAACTTAACTTACATAACATAATGTAACAATAACTTAAAAATAACTTAGAAAAGATTTTAAAAATTAGTGTTGTTTTTTATATATTTTTTAAAAGTTTTATTCACTTCTTTTCACTTTCTTTCCTTCACTTCCACCAGCACTTTCACTGGATAGAGGTCGCTTGGTAAAATATCTATCCAAAGAGGTTTGGCTTTCCTACTTTTTAAAATAATTCTAAAATTACTTAGGTAAATGTCATGACTCTGAGTAGCAATACGGCCAGTGTGAACCTTTTCGGGATGTTTCTTTTCAATAAAATTAGTCACTTTCTAATAATATCTCAAGATTTCCTTTATCGAGCGAGATCCTGCCATGACGAAGCAAACACGCGGGCTGAGACCAATGAACAGAAGTGAATAAAAAATGGCGCTGCGAAATAATGTAACGTCGTATGATGAGTTTTTGTTCGTATCGTGGAGCAAAAATATGTTCGAATTTCATGTCGTATCCTGAAAATTTCGTATGCTGGGGCGTTCGTATCCTGAGGTACCACTGTAGCCATCTCATACGATGGGAATTTTATTGAGTTTGCATTAAAAAATTTTTTATCCTTTCAACTCGGCTGCCCCAGGATTAAATCTTGAGTACGCCACTGATAAAATGTTCATTTTTATATACTAAATATCGGGTTATAAAGGTGAAATTTATACAGTTTGAAAAACTCAAATAGTTTTTTCAAAATGTTTACTCAACCATAATTAGAATTCAGCTTGGTAAGTTCTCATCATCAAAATCAATGACATCGCGCTACTTTTGCTGCAAACTTTCAATCCCGTGAGAGTAGAATGACTGGAGTTTTTCTGGGAGCTTCTCTGAGGTCATCTTTGCTCTTTGTGCTGGCATCTTGTCGCGGCGGTATCGGATTTTGTCAATTTTTAGATGAAAGTTCTTTGATATGGGTGTTCAAATTACCCAGTTCATAGTTCTTTCTCTACGATATGTCGGTTGGAAGCCACTCCGTCACGATGACTCTAAACAAACGCAGATCATCGTCTTCTTCACTATCGGCTTACTGACATTTGCAACAGCTGGTTGACCTTTCTTCACTCACGAACGCTTTAGCAAACTGCTTTACAAAGTCTTCATTGCGTTGTGGTCACTTTTGAAGTGATAAAGTAATAGCAGCGAATAAGTTTCATATTGTCAGACATTGCTGATGCGTCTATTTCCAAACAAATGTGTAATAAAACGCCATTCGGTTGCTCTACTTATATATCCACATCAAACATTCTAGATTTTTTTTTTCAGTCGTTTCTATAAAACAATCGAAATGTCTAAATTTCGACGGGGAAAAATATTTTTGTGGGAAGCAGTTTCTAAAATTTAAATATTTCTCTTTCTATGAAATCTGAAAACTATCAAAAAGTTTCAGGCGTTGATGATAAATTAAAGTTCAAACCTCTAACGTATCGATACAATCCTCATTATAGCCTACTGAAATATCAAGCACAACTCTCACTAAATATTATACAGGTTAAAGTAGAAGCAATTCTATCGCTACATCTGTTAATTTTACATGCTAATTCTGTGAATCTCATCTTCGATTCTTATACGATTTCTAAAATTCCTACAGATACCTGGTTCAATTACTTTAGCAGTTTCTTCGTGTTTCTCACGCTCATATATTTAGTAAATTTATTGTGTTTAATAATAGTTTTATTACATCTAATTTTGAACTTAAAAGTAGATATTACTCTGAAATAGTTAACTACACCAATTACAAAGCTTACAATAATATATGGGCCATGTTGCAGGGGCGAAATTACAATGGCGCAAAATCGTCCGGATTAAAAAAAAAAAAAAAAAGAAAGAAAGAAATGGTCCAGGAGGGAACGCGAAAAGCGGAAACTTCGTGATCATCATAATTGTTTCCATAGGTCGGATGATTCTTTTTTATTTTATTTATTTTTTTAACACGGGCTAAAAGCCTTTGGAAGATGCAAGTCTCGTCCTCTGCATTGGAGATAGGGTTGGACGAAAAAACCCCATATTAGAATTTCGGACTATGGTTTAAAGTGAAATCGTTCTGCTTCTCAAAATGTAATTTTATATTTGATTAAACGCGATTTTTTCAGTGTTGAAAAAATAAAGGTAAAATACAAGCGTTAAATGTAATAAATAATACAATAATATAATTGCTGTGAGACGTATCATTTATTTTTCCATTAAAAATTTTTAAAATTTATGAAATTATAAATTTTTTGAATAATCAGACAATAAAAATTTATGGCAATGAGTTTTTCTAATTAAAAAACGAATTTTTTAAAAATTTTATTCTTATCAAATTGTCTGCCAGATTTCAAAAATAGAGATTGACGTCAAAATAAACGTTATTCATACCACTGTCCGGTATTTCGCTCATTTTTCCCGAGGCAATTTCATTCTGCAATTGAGAAGGAATATAATAATCTGCTTCGGGTTTTATCTTAATATTATTTTTTGCAATGATATCATCTTTTAATAATTTTACGACTATTTTCACAATCGTCTTTCTCTTCAAAAATAAACATTTTATTCCTATGCATCCAGAAGAACTGCAAAATGCGTTTTGCTTTCTGAATATTCCTATGGGAGATTGCAGAATGCATTTAATTACTACTCTTATTAAATCTTTGTCGGCGTTATAACTTATGGGAAGTACTATTCCAGTAACGAAGCAATCTTCTTTTGCAATTATTTCACAAATGAATTTTGTGTTACTATTCATCATCATTTCGGTTTGATTTTCCAAATGAGTTCGATTCAAATACAAAAATAACGAGTCCAAATTTTCCTTCGTTCTCTTTGTTACTATTTTGCAGAGAGTCTTCGGAATTTCTGTTAAATCATCAGGACAATAATGTCTTATAGCCTGTACTTCTTCTCTTGTCAAGACACTATCGATTACTTTAGGGAAAAGTTGTTCTTCCAAGTACACCGGATCCATGGTAAGAAAGCGAATTTTCGGTAGATAAGGAAGAAAAATTGATCGAAGAGATCTTCTTACCGTAACTTTATTAATGGCCCACTTGTGAACGATCCAGAAAATATTTTCTTCTTCTAATGTTTTATATATTGGTCGAGAAATGAGTCTAAGAATTGTACTTTCTTTACATCGCAAGTACTCGTCGTTACAAAAGAATATTTCTTTCCAATCATTATCAAATCTCTGCCAGCACATCAACTGTATAAGACATTCACCGTATTCGCATGCAAAATCATGAATAAAACAAACATTCTCGCAGGTGATTTCTCTAGCAATATGTTGAAGACAATATTCTTTAAGATCTTTAAATTCATACGTTAAATTGATGCAGTAAACATCCATCGCATTTTCCAAGGAAACAAATTCTGTTGTAGCATGTTCTATAAACCTAATAGTGTATGAAATACGAAATGAATACTTATGTCCTGCGCCTTGTATTAATGCAATTGAATGTGAATTAAAATTTACATACTAAATTATATTATCGAAAATAATGTTTATTACAGATTACTCACTCGATAATTTGCGACATAATGTTGTAGGGAATTGAAAGGTGAAGAGTGATATTGCCTGTTGTTGAGATTTGCTGCATCATGGTATTCAGTCGATCGCTGCTGTTACATAAAAACTTTCGAAGTATAAAAGTATTTCGGTCTTCCTGTAAACGTTCGTGACAGACAATGTTCACAATTTCCATTTCATAAATTAATTTTGATAATACAAAGCTAGAAAGAAATTCTTTCATTTAAAACAATGCGTTCTTTATTAAATTAGTTTCTATTGTTTATTCGTAATTGGGCGCTCTTAATGATTGTTGAAAATATTTAAAATATTAACGGAAGAAAAAACTTTAAAATTAATAGAACAATATCCTTTTAATGTTACGAGAATTCTATTTATTGTATTTATTCTATTAATTGATTTTTTGCGTTTTCCGATTTAAATATGGAGTGTTAAACGAAAATACTGACTATTCAAAATCCTTGCATTCAGTCCTTTACTCTGGTCCATACATTAGTCAAAACTAGTTTAAAACTTCCGTTCACTTTACAATAAATAGTTTATTTTCTTACTCACTTTGCATTTTTGTCTTTTAAACCCTTAAATTAAGAGTAAACTCAGATCCCATTTTGTTGTTAGGCAAAAAATGGTACGATTAGTTTAACTATTCCGGGGATTCTAACGATGTTTTCCATATATTTAATTTTATAAACCCTTAAAATTTCTTTAAATTACATTAAAAGCACAGTTTTAAAACTTAGTAGTAAATTCTTCCTGAATTTTTACCATTAGTAGTCCTGATCCCCGATATCGTTTTTGATCGTTTCATTAATTCACATTTATTCTAATAATTATTATAAATAAATCATTTACTGCTATAAATAAAATATTTAAATTTACATAACAACACATTACAAAACAAAATCAAGACGATGAAATGTTTTTATTTATAGCAATATATGTTTTATTTGCAGTAATAATCAGAATAAATGTGAAACTTAGTGTAACAAAAATAAAAATATGTAAATTAATACTCCATGTAAATACGTAGTAGGTAGAGCCTATCTAGTCCACCATATTTAGATAAATAAACCAGAATTAACACTCCAAAATACACATAAAAAGCAGAGTTTTTTCACGCTATTTTATTTGTGCAATATTTCACTTAATTATATTAAAGGTTAAATTTGTTTAAAATCAATTTTGATGGCGTTTCTTTACAGTTAAATTTAACGTTTGCTTCGATTTACATAAAAATTATTAAAAGTTTTTCTTAAGATAAAACCCGAAGCAGATTATTATATTCCTTCTCAATGGCAGAATAAAAACATTTCTTACAATTTCATAAATGCTTAATGAAAATTAAACGATGAAATTTTCATTAAGTCCGACCCCACTCGAGATACCCTCTATTACGTGATTCCCTCTATTTCCTTACCCCGCGACTTTTAATCACTAAAATTTAATAGCACCATTGCATTTATACATGGTGGCCCCGTTTAATGAATACACTGAAATAGCTGGAAAAATAAGCTTTCTGAAAAAAATATAATTGAACGAAAAATATTAGACTTTAAGTACTTCACTTTTTCAATGGTATATTCTATAAAGCCTTTTTCAGCTTGCAACTGCCAAAAGAAAGGCAACTTCATAATCGAAAATTGTATAAAAATAGATAAATATACTCACTTTATACAATGTATTTTATGGAGTCATTCATTTCTTCTGCAATGGCAAGCAATCCCGAGAATTGGTTATAAGGCACTTTGCCACGGATGGTACAAAATGTTTGTAGGAAATACTACGGAATCGAAAATAGCAATCTCAATTATGTTCTGAGCTTACACTGCTGTTTTTTAGTTTTATGAGAAGAGTGAGAATCAATCTGATGAAGAATATAAAAAACGAATATTTTCGTAAAATGTTTCTTAACAGAAGAAATGCTTTAGTGAAATATGTATACTGTACTTTTACATTTCTTTTCTCGTATTCTCTGGTTCCAAATCATTAATGTAATATTCATGTATCCAGAACTTGCAAAATGGCAACAGTTTCGAGGTGAAGCTCTATTTTGTAGTGTGGAGATTGGACTAGTAGCAAATTTGTTTGTCGGATAGCTGGCATATGGTTTGATGTCACGTACATACATTGTTATTAATTATTATGGAAGGTGAATTTTCTAACTTTAGCACGAACTGGCCTGAATTAGAAGTATAGAAGCCGAATTAAAATCTAAATTAAACGAAATTCAGTTTCCCATTCTTAATTACGTATTTAAGCATCACTTCCGTAACAAGTTTTTGTTATTATTCGTATGTTTTTGTAAACACTAACGGATTTATTAAATTAGATTTATTTGGATTAGTGACCATTCCCGCTTTCGTTCGCATTATCTTTGTCTATTTACTGTGCTCTTTCGCATTTATGGTAAAAATATAACTTATTACGGTTACTTTGTTATTATAAAATTATAACGTTTTTGTAAGAGAGAGGATGAAGTAAGGACTATTAGAATTATAATAAGTTAAGCATTTATTTTTAATGATTTATATTTTCTAGATGAAAAATCCGATTCAAGACATCGGACAGTTTGAAAAATCTTTAAAACTCGAAGAAAAAAAATGTCTTTTTAAATTCTCATTTTATTTCTAGATTTTTTAGTGATTTTTCAATGCGTTTTTAACAGATTCTTGATTTTATAAAGAGGTTTAGTAAAGTTTTTTGAGTATGCCAATAGGCAGTTTTTATACGGTTAACAAGTAAATTCTCTTGAAAATATTTGATCTATAAATGGTAAATAAATGATGATAACTATGATATTAATTAATTAAACATCCATATTCGATCACACTCTAAAAACGGCCGATTACTTATCGATTCTTTGACCTATGTTTGACACACACAACAAAAGATGACAAAAATTTTTGCCGTCGCCACCGTTTTTAAGTCGTTAGAATTTTCACTTGTCTTTCTATAGTGTTTATTATTCACCTCAACCGCTTTTTTATCAGGTTCAAAATTTACAAAGACATTATGAGACATAAGTCGAAAAGTCGAAAAGTGGCTTTTAGCTTTTTTCAGGGTATGATCGAATCTGGATGGTAATTTTACGAATTTATGGAGGAAGTTTTTGATCAGTCGCGTGTGCGCCTATGGGCCGAATAGGATAACGTCAACTCCATTTTACGGGGGTAATACTTTATTAAGATATTTTCAAGCATAAGTCAAAGAACCGATAAGTAATCTTCCGTTTTATTGGCGTGTTCGACTCTAGACGTTTATTTATTAATTTAGTAAAAAACTTTTAAGTCGTAGTCTTTATATCTCTACATACTGAAATATAACTGTAACTTGTAAACCTTGCGCTACACAGCATTTTCATAGTCATTTTCGAATTCAGTGCACCTTTTTCCATGCGAGGCAATTTCGGTCCGGAGGCAAAAGAAAGTTTTAATTTGTTTCCTAAAGTTATAGGCTAGATGAATCTATATTTAATATTTATTTTGATAAATATCGAATATTCAAACAGTTATCAAATTTCATATTAAGTTTTATTAAATATAAAAATTTATTATTAAGACAACTCTACAAATTTAATTGTTGAAATAACTATTATTTAGGTTTGCACATATACTGACTACAATGTGTTTTCTTTGATCTTTTTATTGAAGTTTAACGTCGAGTTGTAGTGCATACGAGTGGCCACTATCTACCATTTGTGGTGAAATTTGTTAGCAAAAGCACACCGGTTTAAATACAGTGTAAATGTCTATAATATAAGTAGCTTGGAGTGTTATAGTCGTTAAACAAGAGTTTTTAAACTGGAGAAACACTTACTGGTGTTTTTGTCGTCACTTCGCGACGATAGACGTCACACCGCCGTTATTCTGTGGACTTTAATTTAATGGAAGTGGAAGAACCAGTCCTCGGACGGCGCCGAAGTGTCCGTCGGTATATTGGAAAGGAAAGAAACCAATCCAGATAAAAAGCCGAGCTCAGTTCGTTTAGTCAAGTAAAACGTCATTTTCGCGTGGCAAAGTCGACTTCGGGAGAAGATAACCTCGGCAGAGAAAAGGTTTATTTTCTGCAGAAAAAGAAAAGCTTTTTTCACAAGGCATCTTGATGGATTTTTTTCAGGATCTCTTTCGACTCCTGTCCGTCGAGTCCTACCTCGCGCGACCGCCTCTCCACCGTCCATTCCGTAACTTCCGGGTATTGTCGTCCCAGGTATTCGACCAGAGACGAGGTGCTTTCCGTTCGGAGTTATGACAACCGCCCGTTTCTTGTCGGGGGTAGGCGACCTCCGCTCAACATCTTTCGGAAGCATCCGAATCACTCGAACGGAAGTGGAGAAGGACTCGGTGCTTTCCTCCTGCTTATCATCTCCCGAAGTGCGCCACTTTTTTAACTCTTTGAAATTGTCCATTCTGCAATGAAAAACAAGCAACTGTTGTAAAAATATACTTTGTTGTAAAATATAACTTGCATGAATTAAAAAAATATTCCTATTGTCTTCTAAACTGTAAGTAAGAAATATATAAATTTTTGATGTAAAATTAGTTTTAAAATGCAATAAAGATTTATGATAGAAGATTGTAGAAAATGATCGTTTTAATTAAAATAAAAATTTCAAAGTCAGAAATTAATATTACGATAAAATCTTTAATTATTAAATATAGTAATTTTAATCTTTAATGTTCGATATACAAGGTATAATTTTAAAAATCGGTTTATACAAATCACACAATTCTTTTGATTGTTATAACACAAAATATTTGTGAAAATAGAGAAATTCTATTATAATTAGAGTTTAAAGTATAGCGGTGAGAATTTCATATGGGATATAATGTGTATATAAACCATAGCGGGAATAACAATTTAATGTATTTTTTAATTCCCATTTTGCTTTAACAATTACAAATCTTTAACAATTCGATTCGATTTGGGCTAAACGAAAATTAACAATAAAAATGGTAAAAGGTATCTCCCAAAATAAGTGGAAAGACCCCATTCGTCCACTCTGTGACGAAACCGATCAATTGTAATCTAAATGGAGTTTTTTCGGAAAATCGTTGCTACCAATTGTGATATTCGGCTTAACAATGTTAAAAAATACCTAAATTTAGAAAGTTCGTGGTCTCAACTTACCAATAAAAGTGCTGCAAATGAAGCAAAACTCAGAAAAACGCTTAAAATAAATCACTTTTAATCGAACTGAAAATTTGACCGTTCCCTACAAATTGTGTTTTATTGTTGCGTCGCCGAATTTCATGTAAAGCGTTTGAACTTTTCATGGAATTTCGTGATATTTCCTCCTCTGTTGCTAAAGAGAAGGATTTTGGTGAATTATTCCTTGCACATACATTCGTGTTAACAGTAATATATATTCAAATAAGTAATATTCTCGTGTTTCGTGTCCGTATAAAGATGAATGAAAATTTCAATTTTATGATGATCCTTCGTACAGAAAAAAAATAGACTTGAAGTACACTAACCCCTCTTTTATCTACCTTGTAATTTACTTGAGTGACGCTGTATGATCTATTAATAAAATTGAACTTTTGTTAAATTAATTGAAGACCATGAGCTGGTTAACTCGGTTTCTTGAACGTTGTTGAATTGTTATAAACATACAAGAGATATTGACATTCTATAATTTTTCTTAAACTTGCCTTCCAGTCTGTAATATCGTTAATCACCTGTCATGTTTTAAAATACAGGACAAATTCGAAACTTTAGGGTCATTTTTTCAAGAACGTAAAAAATGAGTTAACATTCTTGCCTCAAAATCTTTAATTATCAGAAGTGTTTCGGTGATTCGAAAGGTCTTAGACAAACTTTAAAAAATTTTATTTTTTTATTATTATTATTTTTTCTTAGTTCTCCAAGTTGACAAGAAGTGGATTGCCTAAAATCTGGACGATTGTAACAGCTGATAGTCTATAATTAGTGTTAATTATGTTTTTGCAAGCTTAAGTGTGCTTGTAGCTGACACCTGAACTGCACTTATTATAGGCAGAACACCCCATGGGTTGCAGTGGCTGTTATTTTGAATTTACTTTTTATTTGAAAAATTGTGTAGTTTTAGGGTTTATGCGAACTGTAGTTAGTTAAATTGGACAGTGGGAAGCATTCGCAACTAATAAGATTTTTAGTATTTCCTTGCAGAGCCCAAAACACTTGAATTGTTTGGGCTATTTAATAGCAGTATTAGATTTTATGCATTGCTTTAAAGGATTTGTTTGTAAATTTATGTTGCAATTAGGCAAGTATTAACAGGATAGTGACGCTTTTAGATTCATTGGAGTGCCTGCTCGCTGCTTTTGTAGTAGGATTAGTGCTGAGAAATTCTTTTCAATTATTTACAGGTGAAATACTGTACATATAATTAGGAAATGTAGGATTTAAATCATATAAACCTAAATGGGGAACTTCCCTTAAAAGACTTATCGGAAAGCAAACGATTGCATAGACTATCAAGTTGTAGCTAGTAACCGCAATTAAAATTTATTATTTCAAATTTCTAAAGTCGGTTGTCAGTGGTCTTTCCACTGCCGCTGAAATTCTTCTGGGACTCTGGACAGATCAAAAGACAAATCACGATAACAAGTACAAAACGTAAAGGTTTTTGTTAAAATATGCCTTAATACGTAATATTTACTAAACTTAAAGTACACATTATGTTCATTTAAATTTCCATAACAATTCATCCTTTTTACTTGGACTCTGTCCAAATGCAGATAAATAACACAGGACACTAATAACATCATTGTATAAACAATATTTAATACATAGCACATAGTAAACAATCCCAAGTACTAAATACATTAATTAAGTCACAATGCATAAGATCACATTACTAGTATACACATAGCCTAGCCATCATGTCCAACTACTAGACATGGTGAGTTTCACTTACAAAAAAATATTAATACACAGCATTAACTTATATCATGAACCTCTTAGTGCGCTCAATGTGAAAAGAGATTCATGAGTCACTAATAACTGCCTCCAAAAAATGGTGAAAATGGTTTACTTTTGTATTCCTGACCTACTTATATTGTCAAAGTCTTTTTGATCATTCTGTATGATCACAACGATATAGTATACTTAAATTACCGCAGCACGTTAAAAATTTTTAATTAATATTACTTGCATCAATATTAAATTTTTTCAACAACAAATATTTACAACATGTCATTCACTTAATAAAATCTCATTTCTATAAGGAATAATAATNTAGCCATCATGTCCAACTACTAGACATGGTGAGTTTCACTTACAAAAAAAATATTAATACACAGCATTAACTTATATCATGAACCTCTAAGGGTGCGACTATGCAGACGCGAAATTAGAGCGAGCGAGAGGTTGCGAGCGATTTAGTTTTCGCAAAGGAAAGCCATGCACAAACGAGAAGGGAGAAATAACGCTGGCGAGAGCGAATTTCTGGTTCTCGCACATATCTGACAGGTTTTGATATTTATCACGTCTCGCCTCTTCTTGCCACATATTCTCGCTCTCTCGGAAAATTCGCTCGCTCGCGTCTGCATAGTCGTACCCTTAGTGCTCTCAATGTGAAAAGAGATTTATAAGTCCTTCATAACTGCCCCCAAAAAATGGTGAAAATGGTTTACTTTTGTATTCCTGACCTACTTTTATTGTCTAAGTCTTTTTGAATCATCCTGTATGATGACAACGATATAGTATAAAATGTGAATACTTAAATTACCACAGCACGTTAAAACTTTTTAATATTTACTTGCATCAATATTAAATTTTTTTCACTTTCCTTCTATTTACAACATGTCATTCACTTAATAAAATCTCATTTCTATAAGGAATAATAATATTTTTATTTTACATCCCTTTTCTGAATCCCACATTACATCCATTTTCTGAATCCCACATTTTTGGTTCTCGTTAAAATGAAAGATATCTCAAATCACTAAAAAAGTTCTGATTTCTGCTAGTCCAATTCTACAAATTATTTGAATTTTTCAATATGAAATTTATAAACTAATTTAATGTTTTTGATAATTTATATGATCAATTAGATGCCTGGCTATTTCTAATACGAGGTAATAGGTCGTGTTTTATGTTGAGTTCTTAGAATAAAATCTTCTTATGCTTTTGCTTTAAGAGTGATGATTTTCATTAATGGTTAATTATATAAATACGCTATATTCGTTCTTAATGATTAAAATAGTATTAATGTATTGTGGGTTTATATAAATTACATTTAATATAATAAATATTTAACTAATATACATCATTTAATATCAGTTATCAATATCAGTTATGAATAAATCAGCTTTCAACTCTCCCTTGCAACAGTTCAAGAAACGAAGAATATTGCTGTGAATAATTGGATATAAATTAATTTTTAGTTATAACATTATTATGTTTTGAAATTATAATTAAATTCGACTTCAGTTGGTTCAAAAATATTCACAAGCGTATTTAAAATGTGTTTTATATTCGTTTCCATATCAAATATTGCAGATTAAGGAGTGAATATGTAAGTAAATGTTCTAATTCATGGAATAAAAATAGAATCACATCATTTAAAAAAACAGAGTAAAATTGCCTCTTGATAGTTTTATTCACGTTCTAGTAAAATTCCATAAATAATCAATAAAGATTATTTACATATAGAAATTCTCTCTGTTTCTTCGAGGACATTCTTTTGTCACGTGATCAAGTCTTAGACATTTCTTGCAAATTTTTTTAATTGGAGCACTTTTATCATTCGTCAAAAGCTTTTTATTAAAATAATGTTCCTGTAAAAGAAATTTGAAAATAGCAATTAATAAAAGTAATCAAATAGTACTGTACATATACGAAGAAACTAGAACAAAAATGCGAATAGGAAAAATAGTTAGAATATAAAACTATTTTTTTCTGCTTATCATAACATTTGGGAGGGGTGTAAATATGTGATGTCATTATAAAATAGCATTGAGGTCGAAGCTGCGAAGGTGTTAACCTACTGCTCTGAGGATCTGAGATCGAATCTGGAAAAAGATCTCATAGGTCCATCACCATTCGGTCGCCCCAATATGGGTCTCTCCGAATCCACGACAGGCCTGCAAAAAAAGGCCCTTTTAGAGCCCACAGTTCAGTCAAAAATGAAAAAAAAATAGAATATGAGGTATTGGATAGTAAATTTATAAACAAGTTTAATTAATTAAAAATTTAGTTTTTTCACTGTTGTTGTTAATATTTTTATATACAAAAATTACAAAAAGTATTTAAAATTGTACACAGATGTTTTTTGGCTAATTTCTTAATACTGTAATGTTTCCGAAAAATGTAAATAATAATAATAACATATAATAGTTGCGCTTATTAACATTATTAAAAGAAAATAATGAAAATGTAGGTATTTGCATGTTATAATTGATAAACTTTTATCAGTCTGTTTTTTAATTTTAGTTAAAAAATAAACTCATAATAGCCCTATAATAAAAGGGCAAATGACCAGTCTTCACTTGATAACAGTGAAAAATGGGAAATGATGCTTCGCTACGATCTGCTCATGAAAAAGTATGAAAAGCAGATTCGAACTCGAATCCCACATTACAAAAAAGAAATCGAGCTGTCTCACAACCGATAGAAATTGCTGAAATGTTAAATATCTGAAAGCTTACCAAAATGGCGTTCGGTTCGTTTACATTGGTTTCGGCTCGGAAATGTTCGTAAGATGTACGAAATGTTGAAAATATAAAATCATTCACTGAAAGGAAAAAAAAGCTTTAATTAGTACAACGAAATTAACATTTACAAATATAAAAGAAGACTGAAATTTTAAGCAACATTCGGATTACGCTAACATTTCGTGTTAAATCATGTAATGACGCGTTATCATATCACATCACCAAACAAAAGATTTAAAAATACAAACTGCTCACATTGTATGTTGCTTCAGAGTGTTGTCATAAGACGCCAAGTCAGTATCGTTTTAGAGTGCATGGTTGAAGATATTTTCATGAAAAACGGTTTGTTTGAGGAAACGGATAATCCTCAGCTGTTGAATGAATTTGATAAAGAGGATGATGGTTGAGGAGATTTTGATTGCAGTATTAATAGAACATAAAAGAGCTAGGTTGCATTTAATAAATGCTAATAGATCAATACTGTATTTGTGAATTTCATCACCTATAGCAAACACAAAAATCAAAAGCGATACTGAAAATGCTTGTGGTGGCTTATGAAAACCGAAAGGTTTGATGGCATATTAACACGTATAACAAGCGACTGATTCTTTCTGTCGTCAGCATACGATACTTCAGCGTAATATGAGTTTTTCTTTAACACGTCATAACGCATTGTTGGGTGTTAACACAAAACGTCAGCGTAATCTGAAAGCGGCCATACTTTTTCGAGTTGCTCCTCCTAAGTTATGGCTCAAGTCGAAGGGATCTGAAAATTACAAAATTAAACATTTTATGTTAAATGCTATAATTAATTCTTTTAATTTATTCGAAATTTTACCTTCGATTGCTATGCTGTTTTCTACTTTCCAATACCAATTTTTTTCTAAACGTGTCAAAGGTGCATGTCGACGAATACAAATAACAAATAATTTCTTTGAAAATATTTCCGTATAAAATTTTAAAAATCCTAACCACAATTCGGCTAAACTTTCGGTATTTTTCTTATAATCCGGCCAAACATTTGGCTGAAATTTATAAAAAGCAAGTCATATATATATTTTTTAATTTTAAATATTTAAAGTTTATTTTAAAGTCGGCAACATACTAAATTGTCAATGTCTTCGTAGAACCACGTATTCCATCCTTGTACTATTCTAACTGGACTGGCTTGGGAATGATCATATAACTGAAAATATATGGGTGGATTCAGAGCGCCCAGGAGAATTTAAATTGAATTTAATAAGAAAAAAATCATTTATTTAGTTTGTTTTAGTTCACAATATATTAAAAGCACTTTTTCCAAATTTCTAATACAAAAGTTGCAACGTTTGTCACTGAGAATTATTTTATAAGCAGAGAAAAGCGTTCCACATCTACTGAATATAATGGACACCAACTATTGTACAAATATGTAAACAATATGTTTCTACCACTTTTATCAAGCAATAAGATAACCGAAAACTCAAAAGAAATAAAATAAATCAATTTTAAAATAATTTTTCTTTTAACCTTGATTTTAAATCTTTAATCTTCATCTTAAATCTTTAAATCGATCTTTTTCATTCTTTTCATAACGCTTCTTCCGCATATATCACAGGCTACATGTATGCTATACTGTATTGTAACGAAATTTTAAACTAAAGACCCTTCCAAATTATTTATTTACCTGTTAATATATTGTAGTATAAATGTTATGTGACTGCATTAAAAAACTAAAATATTTATATATATATATATATATTACAGACTCTCTTTTCATTACACAAAAAAATATGCAATTTATAAAATTACTATTTATTAAAAAAAAAGAAAAGAAAATTAGAAGAAATGTTACTTCTAATTTGGTTCATAAAAATATTAACATTTAGAATTGTGTTTTTTCACAAATTTTCAATTGAGTTGAATTACAGTACTTGAATTTTTCAATTAAACAGCATTACATTTACATTAATGCCATCTGAAGACCACAACAGAAACTATCTTTTACATACTCAAATATATTTTATGTTATAAAAATATTTAACTTATTAATATATTACAAAATAATAATTAGAATGTATTATCTGTATTTTTTATTCTAATAACTTTTTATTATTATTTTCATAATAATAAAATTCATCTATTCTTTTAATATATTTAAATTTAATTTATCAGAAATATCTGAACAATAAATGAATTCATTTAGTGAAATAAGGTTTTTTTTTAAAATGGAAAACATTTAATATTTTAAATTATTTAGATTTTTTAGATATTACGTCATAGGCAGGTCACAGGAAATAGAATGGCATCACCAGGAATTTCTGAGGTCATGTGACCTGTCACGTGACCGCAAAAACACGTGCTTCTGTTTACAATATTTGTCTCTATTATATCTTGTAAAGTAATTAACAAAGTTAAAAAAAATGTTAAAAATAACAGAAAGCACTCAATAACAAACATATTACAGCTTAAATTAGTAAAAAAAGTAACAAAATAATATAAAAATGAACAAAAATGACTTTTATACATTGCATTTACGTTTAAAAAAATTATCATCAGAAATCATGAAAAGTATAATGGAAATATGTAATGAACTAAATACATTTGTAATACCTCAAAAATTATCAAAAAAATTCAAGAAAAAGACCGAAATAAGAACGTTTACCTCTAGGGTAACGTGACCTTGACATGAACAAAGCAGTATGGGCCGAGGACAGTTAAGTTAAATTAATACAGTGTTGGCTTCAGACGTTTTTCTTTGAAAAAATATTTGGGGAAAAATATTGTCTTATAAAAGATTTGTGGCTCCCTGTTGGTGGGGTCTCTAAGCAATTTCTTTTTTTACCCATAGAATAACGCACTTTTGGGTGGATTAAATTAATAAGTAACCGGCCAATAAGCATATGTGGTTGCTTTTGGTTGGTTATTTACTTATTCATTATTACATATTTATTCACTCGAAAAAGTATAAAATCTACCAATAATAGAAAAAATTTAGCTTACTTCTTGCAAAACTGGAATCACTGGTGGATCTCTTTGTTGTAAGTAATATATTAACATTAAAATATACGCGTAAGATGATAAACCTCCTCTTGACGCATCACATATGTAACAAACCTTCAACAAACAGTTAAAAATATTAAGGTATATGCAAGTTTTATTAATTTAGTTAAATATATCTACAGAAAAAGTGAAAATGAATTAATTACCTTAGCAAAATATTTGACAACGTAACCAAGTTTCTGAACGCGTGAATCAATTTTGCAATAAGTAGAAAGAAGTTTTGTATTGTATACTGCCTGTAGAAATAATATAAATAATATTGAATAATACAATAACTATTGTTGAGAAAATATAAATTACCCACCAAATCATTGAAAAGGCTAAAATCCGCTTCTTTATTCACATATTTGAATGAAAATTTGATTATAGGCACTTTTGCTGTTGGAACAGGTACAACATATCGAACCATTGGACATCTCCTTAATTCGTATGTTAAATGTGCGATAATAATGTCTCGATAATCAATCTGTTGAATAAATAATTAAAGAATTAAAGTTAGTTTATAAACATTAATTGTTCAATAATTTATTATAATGTTTTAATTATGCCCTGTATAAAATGATAATGATGATGGCTTAGGCGGTTAAGGAGGAAGTCTACTACTTTAGGGATGTCTAGATGGAATCCATAAGGTCGAAAGTCTACAAGAATTCTTTGGGGAGTCTGGTCCCCTCTAACCACCCTGTGGCCTCCATTGAAGGCATGGTCGAAACCGTAATGGATATGTTATAAGATAGATCCGTAAGAGATGAGATGGTGCCTTCCTATTAGAATCGAATCAACATCCAAATGTTACTAAAGACAATACTTGAAACCAGAGCCGTACCAATCCATTGGTAACGGGGCAAGAGCCAAGAGTGCCATAAACACTACTATGGTTCTGCCTGAAACAGCATATTCTGTTCAGATACTTGTAGAAATCCCAAATCCCTAAGATGCCAGGCCCTTAGAGACAAATCCAAGAACTGACAGTTGGATGATATTAACTTATCCACACTGCAGAAAATATTTTATCATAATTATTTTCTGTATTATTCCAACTAGAAAAAAAAATGAATTTGTATGATTGTAAGTAATTCTAATTACTTTTATAGCGTCTTGTATGAGAAATTTCATTGTTGTAGCGCTCTACTAAGTCTATCATTCTGACTGATGGCATATACGAAGTGGTCCAAATGTCTGTTAGCCGAATCACGAATGCAATGCACGTGTTTCAAATCCGTCTTATCTGTTTTATGTCAAAATTTTCTATATATAAAGGATTATGAACAAAGAGAAAAAGTATGATTACCTCATCAGTTCTGTTTTTCAAAGTGAAACATATATCGAGATCGCTGTCTCTGAATCCGAAACCATTGCTTGAAGACCCAAATAGCTGTAAACAGGCACCTGAAATAAAATATTATAAAAATTGTAGAATATTTTATATTTGTGAAAAGAAAATAAATTATTATTTATATTGCTTTCAATATTGATATAAACAAATTTTTAAAACGTATGTAAATAGAAAATTACTGTTGATCAGTGTTTTTCAACCTGTGGGTCGCGACCCCCAGAGGGGTCGCAAAGCCGTACACGGGGGTCGC